GAAATCCGCGATTTCCCGTGGAAGCGGGACCCGCAGCTAATCCACGGCCCATTAATCCATGCTTGCGATCGCCTGAACCACCGCCGTCTCAGCTGGCCCTCGTTTCAGAAGCCCCGCTTGCACGCCCAAGACCGCGAGCGTGCGCGGCGGCGCGAGGGGGAGGAGGAGGAGGAGGAGGAGGAGGAGGAGGAGGAGGAGGAGGAGGAGGAGGAGGAGGAGGAGGAGGCGGAGGAGGAGGAGGAGGAGGAAGAGGAGGAGGAGGCCCATTCGCAGCCCTCGGGGGGCTCGAGCGCGGTGCCCAGCCGGCCCCTGGCTGCCGCTGCCCTCGTTTTTGGTGGCCCGCGGGGGGGCGGCCCGGAGGCCGCTCCGCGTGCCAAAGGGGGCTGCCCAGGATCTGCAGGCCTGGGCGTCTGGAGGAGGAGGAGGAGGAGGCGGAGGAGGAGGAGGAGGAGGAGGAAGAGGAGGAGGAGGAGGAGGAGGAGGAGGAGGAGGATGAGGAGGAGGAGGAGGAGGAGGAGGAGGATTAGGTGTAGGAGGAGGAGGAGGAGGAGGAGGAGGAAGAGGAGGAGGAGGAGGAGGAGGCGGCTGGGTGGGACCACGCACCCAGTCTGCGGATCGCGTGGCCGCGCTGCCATCCACGCCATCGTCCTGCTCCGCCCTCTCTGCGCCTCGTCTCTCCCCTCCCTCCGCCCCCTCTACTCTGAGTGCGTTGGCGCTCACGCCACCGGAACCGGGTGTTGCCAGAAGTGGCCCTGGGCCAAGGTGGCCCTGGCTGTCCATCGAGGCGCAGGTGTGCACCACCTGCCAGACCACCCCAACCCAACCCGAAGGCCCACATCTGGCCCCTTTTCCCAGTGAGGGGGGGGGGGGCGTCAGGGAACACTGGTAAAAGCACCTATGGAACCCGTAATTGCCCCCCCAACCCGAGATTTGGGTCTTCGGGTTGGGTCGGGGTGGTCCGGTAGGCAGTCAGATGTCTTCAGGGCACCGCTCGCGAGGGCTAGAGGGCTTCATAACCCCCCAAAAGGAGGCGAAACACTGGGGACACCCTTGGGCCAGGACCCCTTCCAGCAACACCCGAAAAGTGTGCGAGAGTACGGCAGGTTCGCGGCGTGCCGACCAGCGGCGACCCCAGCGCGTGCGTCTAAGGTTGAGCGCCGCCTCTGGCCCAGAATCGGCCCGTCGTTGAACGATCCGGCGTTCACGGAACGGCCGATCGTTCAAGCTTGAACGATGCCCGAGGTGTGAGGAACCAACGCCGGGGTCGCCACGACGCGAACTTGTCGTACAGTCGGGGCGCTGAGAAAGGAACCCTTTTCGTTGGGGAGGGGCTCGGTGCTCCTCGATTGTTTTGCAGTTTCCCTTAGGTTTCCATGGGAAATCGAAGTTTAACTTAGGGGAAAAAGGGGCCTCGTTTCTTACTTAGGGTTCCTTAGGTCAACGCCCCGACTGCATGTGTGTGTGCGTGGGGGGAGCAATGGTTCTGCAGCTCGTTCGGAAGGCCCCAGGAAGGAGGCGAGGCACCCCGACGTCCGACGCCGTGCTGTTGTCCGGCCCGTGGCCCCCGGATCCTTTCGACCTTTCACCTTGGGGGCTGGCATTTCGTGTCGGATTGTTCCCTCTCGCTGCCCATAAGGCCCGGCAGCGGCCTGCTTGAAAGAAAAAAACATCCGCCTCCGCTGTCACCGATGCAGCCGCTGGACTAAAGGCCTTCCCACGATGGAACGCCCGCGTCTGCGATGTGCACCTCGGGCCCTTGGGGGCGCAGTACACCAAGCCCACCCGGAGGCTGACGAGCCGCATGTGCCAAGTTGCGGGTTTCTTACGCATGCGATCTCACGTGCGTCACGCACCACCTCTTTTGCCCTCCCCCCCCCCTAGGAGTGTTTGCGAGTTTCTCGCGCACGATTCAGCGTTAGCATATTAGCTTATGTCGATATCGCAAGGGGGAGAGGAGGGAGGAGGAGGAGGAAGAGGAGGTGGAGGAGGAGGAGGAGGAAATGGAGGAGGAAGAGGAGGAGGTGGAGGAGAAGGAGGAAGAGGTGGAGGAGGAGGAGGAGGAGGAGGAGGAGGAGGAGGAGGAGGAGGAGGGGGAGAGGGAGGGGGAGGGGAAGGAGGAGGGGGGATGAGCCTAATTACATATCGTTCGCTTGCGCGTGCTTCAGATTGGCGATGCCCCTGCCCAGATCGGTGCTGCAGCTGTGAGCGCACGCAGCTTTTTGGTGTGACCGCAGATTGTGGCCCTCTAACTATTAATCGTGCCCAGAAATCGCCCCCGTGTGACCGCCATGGTGCCCAGTATGTCCGCCCGCCCTGTCGGGGAAGATGTTTTCGGCGTCGTCTTCGTTCTCTCCGGGTCGCTGCTTTTCCTTGACGTTGTTGGACCGAAGCGATCGCGGTCACCAGAATGGTCACACAGTGACGCGCTAACGATCGTAGTGGGCGTCGGACGCGCGACCAGCGAGGCGGATCGCTCGGTGCTCACATGAAGCGGCGTCGGGGCGCGTTTCCCCGCAGGCAGATCGGATCAAGGTCGGCGTCCTGCCAGCCGCCGCCAGCCCCGCAGCTAGCTCGCGCGCGACCATGGCACCCAAACGCAGGGTGTCACTTGCGCTTTCACCTTGAGATTGCGTTGTCGGTTCCCCGTGCCAAATGCGGCGGCAACTATGTTTGTTGGCGGGCGCTCTTCTGAACCCTCCAGTCCCGTGGCGATTGCTGGGCTCGGCGCAGCCCCCTCGCTTGGGTCGGCGCGCAAGATTTCGTGATGCTCGGTGCCACGCGCGGGGTAAAACAAGGGTGCGTTTTCTCGCCATGCTTCCGCTGGGAAGGTACACTTAGATGTTGCGCACGCCAGCCGCCTGCAATCCTTTCGCGGGCAAGACGCCGTTCTGGACGCGACGGCGGCGCAGCGTCTCACCGCCTGCCCTGCCAGCGCGAAAGGTCCCGGAACCAAACGCAAAGTTCGTGGGCACCTCTGTGTGCAGCGCAGTCCTTTTTCCTTGGTCGGGCTCAGTGACCGCTGTTTCGGCACAACAGGGCTCCCCACCACGCTGGCGCGCGCCAGTGGTCACCATTGCCGTAGGTCGCAGCTGGGCTTTGATCCGAGACCCTGGACGCCATATTTTCTCACAGCGCGGACCCCCCAGACGTCTCGACTCCCCCCCCATTCGGGCCAGCTTTCCCTCCCGAGTCGTTGGTGCTGACGGCCCCAGGGCACGGTGAGGTCCCGCAGAGGCCGAGAGAGAAACAACACTGAATCGTGGTGATACGACTCAAGGAGGAGGAGGAGGAGAAGGAGGAGGAGGTGGAGGAGGAGGTGGAGGAAGAGGAGGAGGAGGAGGAGGAGGTTGAGGGAGAGGAGGTTGAGGAGAGGAGGAGGAGGAGGAGGAGGAGGAGGAGGAGAGAGAGCAGGAGCAGGAGAGGAGGAGGTTTGGAGGGAGGAGGAGGAGGAGGAGGTTGTGGAGGAGGAGGAGGAGCAGGAGGTGGTGGTGGTGGAGGAGGAGGCGGAGGAGGAGGAGGAGGGGGGGAGGAGGTTGAGGAGAGGAGGAGGAGTAGGAGGAGGAGGAGGAGGACGAGGAGTTGGTGGAGGAGGAGGAGGAGGAGGAGGACGAGGAGGAGGAGGAGGAGGTGGAGGACGAGGAGTAGGAGGAGTAGGAGGAGGAGGAGTCCGGCGAGTTGTGTCCGAAACGCGGAAAGCCAGGGCGCGAGGGCCCGCCTCAATGGAAGGTGGGCCTTTTGTGCCCGCCGCCCGCCCGCGCATCGCGCGCGCGCGCGCGCTCCCGCGGGGTGAGTCGCCCCTCGCTCCCCAAGGTGTTGAGGGATAGGGGTCCTAAGGGCGAGCAGCCTCAAACAATTTATGTCCACCCTTGGATCCCTTCCTATCCTTCGGGCCCCATCCCTCAGGACCCCATCACTGAAGCACCGATGGCGAGAATACGCAGCTCGGACGCCCACACGACGCGTGACGTCACCTCTGGGGGAGGCGGCCGGGCTCCCATAGGGCCAGCTACACGGCCGCCATCGCGGAGAACAGAAGACATGCTCTTTTAGACCCACATCGATCGTTGAAAGTTGGTATTTTGGGACTCCCAGATTCCAGTCTACTTCAAGCGCCTTCCCAATTCAAGGATCGAGTGGCTTCACCTTGTCCGTCCTCCCTAGGGGGGCGGGCGGGCAACCAACCTGCTCTCGACGCCTTCCTGCTTCACGTCTCTACCAACTGCTTCCGACCGCTGGGTAAGCACGCTCAACCCGCGTCGTAAGGATGAGCGGCTCTCCGAGGTTAGCCTGCAACCTTCCCCCTTGCGCTCATCCTTGGCCGCTTCCGCTGGCCGCGCCCCGCCCGCAAAGGGCCGACGTGGCCCTCCAATGCCCTAGCATCATTCACCGCGCATCCTTACAGGGAAGCTGAAACAAGTGGCCAGGGCCAGCGCTTTCATTCTTTCCCGCCCTGGTCGGTTTCCTTTCGTTTTTCCAGCCCTGGCCTCCAAGTCCCAATCGTTTCGAGTCTGTTCCAGCCCCTGCCAGCAAATTTCCAACATCCACTGCTTCAGGCTCCTCTGTGCTACATGGGCCGACGGCGTCCATCTAGACTCGGGGGCCCTGTGATGCCGACGAATACGGCGGCACTTGCGATGGGGAGGAGGAGGAGGAGGAGGAGGAGGAGGAGGAGGAGGAGGAGGAGGAGCAGGAGCAGGAGCAGGAGCAGGAGCAGGAGCAGGAGCAGGAGGGGGAGGAGTTGGAGGAGGAGGAGAGGAGGAGGAGAGGAGAAGGATGAGGGGGAGGTGGGGAGGAGGAGTGGGAGGAGGAGTGGGAGGAGGAGGAGGAGGAGGAGGAGGAGGAGGAGGAGGAGGAGGAGGAGGAGGTGTCGGGCCTGCGAGAGAGCGCTGGCCGACGCCTGCATGCTGCCAGTCCTGGCGCTGCGTGCCAGCCCTCTTCTGGAGGAGGGGTCCCTCGGGGCCCGCGGGGGGCCCGCGCCGCCGGCCGCCCGCCGCTTCGAGGGCCCGGGAGCAAGCTGTGCAAGGCCCGCTACGTGCCGCCGCTGAAGTGGCTCCTCACGTGCCGCCCCGCCGCAGTCGGGGGCGGCCAAGGAGGGGGGGGGATGACCAGGGGGGGGGATATCATGGCGTGGGCCACGATACGGTAGAGGGAAGCAATTCGTGGACACACAGGAGGGTGGGGTTCACTTCGCTCGGGAGCTCCCGAACGAAATGAACCCTCCCCCACCCCTCAGAAATCGTGGGGGGTTGGGGGTAGGGTTCGCATGTGGCCCACTAGTTTGTGGGCCCTGGGGCAGTGAGAAGTGGGCCTCCCCTACTGACCGAGTTTCCGTGGTCCCAGCCAGTTCAGATCCCCTGGCCGCCTCCGATGCACGCCCGTGTCGGGCACGGCAGTCGTCACAGTGTCGACGCTCAGAGCTCGCAGTGCTCACAGCGGAGGGCGAGCGACGATCCCCCCGGGGTAGTGCGAGGCCATTCTGAGTCCCTCTGGCGACAGAACGGGCTTGACCCGGGGTGGCGAGGGGGGAGGGAGACGGGGGCCGGTAGCGTGACGAGACGCGCTGGCGTCGTGTAGGTCGGGGGCGGAAAAGAGCGGGGTGATGACTAGGGGGGGGATATCATGGCGGGGGCCATGATATTTCCCCAGATTTCATGGCGCCTCTTCTTATTTCATTACGTCCCTGGCCCCCCCGCTGCGCCGCGCACATGCCGCCGGTCATGATTTGCACCCCCCCTCTTGGACACCCCCCTCTTGGCCGCTCCCGAGTAGGAGTGTGTTTGAATGGCTGATCCATGTGGCACCATGTGGCACTGTACCGGTGATCCATGTGACACCACGTGCCGGCTCCTGTCGGGCACGGCAGTCGTCGCACCATCGAAGCTCAGAGGTAGCCTCGCACACGCCAGCGAGCGACGGTCCTTCCAGGGCACTACTCAGCAGCGCCCAGTGCTGCGTCGCGCTTGTGGGCCTCCAGCCGTGGCCCCCTTCCCTTTCTTGCAACCGACCGGCCCCCCCCCCCCCCCCCCCCCCCCCCGGCGGCCCGACCGTGGCGCCCCTCTCCCCCTCCCCTTATTCCGACCGAACCGACCGTGCCCCCCCATTCCCCCCGTAGACCCCTTCCCCTCCTTACGACCGGCCGTGCCCTCCCCCCCCCCGCTTCTCCCCGGGGCCCCCCGCCACAGAGGGCCCCAAGGGACCCTCCAAGAGCGCCCCGGGACGGCGGAAGCCTTTCAGGGCGCCCGAAGGCAAACCAAGAGAGCCCCACCCAGATCGACCCCAAAGGGCTCCAATCATGCTCAAGAAAGCTCCAGCAGGACCCCCATAAAGCCCCAAAGACGCCAAACAACAAAGGCTGCGAAAAGCGCACAGTGACCAAGCGCTTCGCTCCATGACGGAGTCGGCACTGGAAAACACGCCGTTGAACCTCGCAAGCCTCTCCCGTCATCTTGAGATCGCCTTCAGATCGACACCGTGCGCTGCATTCAAGCAGCCGCTCTGAAATTCGCCGCTCCCTCGTTATGGTCACTCGCCGGCCTGGCGCAGCACTCGCGCGATCGCCATCTGCCGTTGTCCCGCATCCGTGATTGTATGATCCTTGGCACGCGTGCCTTTGCATGTTTCCCGACGCGGCCTCTTTTGGAGTCGTCTTGGAGCCCTCTTAGGGCGTCTTTGAGGCTTCTTTGGCAATTGTGAGGCCATTTTGGTCGCCTTCGAGGACTCCTTGGTGTGTTGGAAACCTGCTTGGAGCAAGCGCATATCTATTATGTAGCCATCTTGGAGGCCACAAATTATAGAAATGGAGGCTCCAGGGGCCCTGGAGGAGCGTTGATGAGCTCGGATGACCCCCCCGTCCCCCTCCCTCTAAGCGGATTTCATACCCCAGGGGAGTCAACCATCTCACACGCCTTTGCACCCCTGGCATGCGGTGGCCGGCAGATTCCCTCCCCTCGTCCCGGACGGCGACAAAGAAGCCGACATCGACTTGAGAGGTGATGAGTACGGCGACGAGATCGGCGACAAGTACGGAGACGAGGAGGTGGAGGAGGAGGAGGCGGAGGAGGAGGAAAAGGAGGAGGAGGAAGAGGAGGAGGAGGAGGAGGGGGAGGGGGGATGATGATGATGATGATGATGATGAGGAGGAGGAGGAGGAGGAGGAGGAGGAAAACCAGAGTGAACCCCAGATGCATCAACCGATGATGCAACACACCCTCCAGTCCCGAGTCCCCTCCCATTAGTCCCGCCCTCTTCCTTTCCACTGCGGGAGCACCCCCTTGAATGACGAGCGGCCGGTCGGTCCGCCAGTCAGTCGAAGGCGCCTGTTATAAAGGATCGTGGACCTATGCTCCGCGAAAGTCCCACGCGAAATCCCTTCAAGGAGGCCCAAGCGCCCTTTTGACAACGGCCCGCCCTCCATCTGTTTTTTTTTCGTTGTGTGAGCCAATGGTGTGCGGCGCCTACGAAACGAGAGCCCATTGTGAAATCCGTTTGTGGTTCACGCGCCCACGCGATCTGAATTCAACTGCTCCTTAAGGCCCCGTGCGGCGGTGATGACGATCAAAATGAGGATGTGGATGCTGTTGCTGCTGGTTGCGACGGCGAGCCTGGGAGCGCCTGGGGAGGGATTGTAGCGTCCGAGGGCGCCTGGACGCGTCTTTGGGCGTCTGGGAGCGCCTGGGGCAGCCCAGGGAGCGCGTGGGTTCAAAATCGGAGTCGGCGAGGGCCCCCCGACATTTAGCGGTTGGCGGTGGCTTTGCCATCACGTCGTGGATTTCTTTTGCGGTTTGTGCCGAAGGGTTCTGCGGGGCCTTGGGTAGGCCGATGCCGAAGATCAGCGCACTCGCACCGAGAACTTGGTTCTTAGATCGGATGGTGAGGGCTCGGCCGGATGGATGTGCACCGAATACCACTTGTCGCATCGGATGGTGAGGGTTGGGCCACATGGATGCGCACCGACTGTAATTTACAAAAGGATGGAACAGGTTGGGTCGTAAGGATGCACACCGAATGTCACATGTTGTATAGGATGGTGAAGGTTGGGTCGCATGGGCGTGCCCCGAATCATCTTTGTGCCGAGTGGTAAGGGTTGGGTCGTATGGCTGCGTGCCGAACAGTGTTTGATATCGGATGGTGAGGTCTGGGTCGTATGGATGTCATCAAGGTTGTTTGTGGATGGGATGGTGATGGGTGGGTCAGGTTCGGTCGGGTGGTTGCGTGTCGTATTCAATGTGTGTTGCATGCGATGGTGAAGGATGGGTCGTGTGGATGCGCGCGGGGCTGAGGCGAGCGCCACGTTTTTGATAAGGGAGCCAGCCTCCATCCTGGAAGCTGCTGCAAGTTTGTAGGAAGAATGTGCGCCGCGCAAAGCGATGACCACATGTTGAAAAAAGGAGCCGGCCTCCATTGATCAACCTGTCGCCAGTTTTTATGTAATCTGCATGTGCGCGGCGCCAGGGGGAGAGCCACAGTGTGAAAACGAACAGGCGTCCACCCTTGTAGTTGTTTGTTGCACATTTCAACCTTCAGGAGATCTCAAAGGAGGAGGATGAGGAGGACGACGACGAAGACGGCAAAATCGACGGCGTCGGCGTCGTCGACGATGACGACCTCGGATGCCCGCAGGCACCACCCAAACATGTTCCTCAACGCGCCGGCGCATCAGCCACCCAGCGACCTCCAGGTGGAGGGGGGGGAGGAGTAAGGGGGAGGAGAAAACAGGGTTCTCCCCCTGTAAACTCTTCCCCATCGATCCTCTACTCCCTCCTTCCTCCCTCCATTTCCCATCCTACTCCACTCTCCTCCCTCCACCTCTTCCTACTCCTCATCCCCCATCCTCTCCTGTTTCTCCTTCTCCTTCTCCACCTCTTCCTCCTTTTCTTCTTCCTCCTCCTCGTCCTCCTCCTCCTCTCCTCCCCTAGCTTCTTCCTTGTTCTTCCGTCCTACTCTTCTCTCCATTCTTCTCCCCATCCGCCTCCGGTTCCTTTTCCTCTCGGCCCTCTTTCAGTCTCCCTCATCGCCCCTCCGTGCTCCCACCTCTTTTATCAGTTGCCCTCACGCAGTCGTTCCGCAGCCTTATCCTCCTGCTCCTGATCCGTCTCCTCCTCTTCCACCTCCTCCTCCTCTTCCACCTCCTCCTCCTCCTCCTCCTCCTCATCATCATCCTCATCATCATCATCATCATCATCATCATCATCATCATCATCATCATCATCATCATCCTCATCATCCTCATCCTCCTCCATCGCGCGACTAGCGCTCAGCACATCACAGCTCCTCATTTTTCCTGTCTGTTCCCTTCGTGCTCCTCCCTGTTCCTCTCCTCAGTGCTACTCCTGTTCTGCCTTGTTTCTCGTCTTTTCTCCTCTCCTGCTTCTCGCTTTTCCCTTCCTCCCTCACAATCCTGCTCCCTCCTCTCTTCTCTTTCCCTCCTCTCTCCTCTCTCCCTCGTCCCCTCACCTGGAGCGCACGCGAGCTCACGGAGGAGGGACGGCCTCGACGCAGGAACTGGGCGAGAAGGCAGGGGGAGACGAGGAGGTGGAGGAGGAGGAGGAGGAGGAGGAGGAGGAGGAGGAGGAGGAGGAGGAGGAGAGGGAAGAGGAGGAGGAAGAAGAGGAGGAGGAGAAGGGAGGGGAGTGGGAGGGGGAGGAGAGAGGAGGAGGAGGAGGAGGAGGAGGAGGAGGGGAGGAGGAGGAGGAGGAGGAGGAGAAGAGGAGGAGAAAGAAGAGGAGGAGAGAAGGAGGAGTGGGAGGGGGAGGAGGAGGAGGAGGAGGAGGAGGAGGAGGAGGAGGAGGAGGAGGAGGTGGAGGAGGAGGAGGAGGAGAGGAGGAGGAGGAGGAGGGGAGGAGGTGGATGAGAGGAGGAGGAGGAGGTGGAGGTGGACGCAGGAGGAGGAGGAGGAGGGATAGGGGGACGGAAGAGGAGGGAGGATGGCCGAGGAGGGGGATAAGACGAGGAGGGATGGCGGAGGCCAGGGGGGTATAAGACAAGGAGGAGCGCACGGGCAGGAGGCGGTGGACGGAGGGGAGGGGGGTCGATGGGGAGGCGGGGTGTGCTCCGGTAGAGGAAAAGGGCAGGGAGGAGGGGCGGGGGGAGGAGGGAGAGGGGGCAGGGAGCCTCCCTTCGGGGGCCCTCCGAGGGCGAGCGAGGCCCCCCCGCCCTCCGCGGAGGTTGCCTCCCCCACGGAGCCGTGCGTCTCCTGCGGCCACCTCCCCTACCAGGGCAGCGCCCACCCGCCGCCCGGTCACGTTCGCTGCGCTCACTGCTCTCTCTCTCTCTCTCTTTCACTCTCTCTCTCTTTCTGTTCTCTCGTGCTCGTTCTCTCTCTCTCTCTCTGTCTCCCTCTCTCTCTCGCGTTCTCTTGCAAACTCTGCCGGCCCCGACCGCGGGACTGACCTTGCTCCCGGCAGCACGGCGAGGCGTCAGTATGCCACCAGGCTTGGTCACGAAAAAAGTGTAGCACTCAGGGGCAGTCAGGGTCCCGTCTTGACAGATCCCCCAGAGAACACAGACCGCCCAGGCCGACCACCAGGGCCGATCGCCCGCTCGCCTCGAGCCCTATCCCCAGGTGAGCCACCAGGCGTGCCTTGATGCTTACCGGTAGAACACCAGAGTTTACCTCTCCATCTTCTGAGTGCGCTGCGTGAGCTGCGTGCAGCTTTTCCGCAGCTCTAGCTCTGGGCCGCCGCGGCGGGGGCTCCAAGGCGGCGCCGGCACTGCCAGACCTGTCGGGAGACCCGTTGCGACCAGAACTTCGAGGCGGATCCAGCCGTGGCGACGAGAAGCCTCCCAGAGAACCAGAAAATGGCCAACGACGCTCCAAACACTTGTATCAACAACCACCCCCCTCCTGCCTCCTCCTCCTCCTCCTCCTCCTCCTCCTCCTCCTCCTCCTCCTGCGTCCACCTCCTGCGTCCACCTCCTCCTCCTCCTCCTCCTCCTCCTCCCCTCCTGGTGGGGGGACGTTGCGGGGGGGGTTCGACCTCTTCTCGAAGAAGAAAAATTATATAAACATAAACTTTTGGCGCTCCGCGTGGATTTCTTTGATCCACGCCTGGGCCCCCCGGCGGCGCCTCCGGCGCCGCCCCTGGCGCGCTCTGCGCGCCAGGGAGAGGGGTCCAGCGCGGATCCAAGAAAGCCGCCCGGAGCGCCGGAAGATTATGTTTATGTGTTTTTTGTTTTTTGTATCTACCCCCCTCATCCCCCTCATCCCCTCCCCGTCACTCCCCTCCCCGTCACTCCCCTTCCATGCAAGGTCGCCCGAGCCAGCTTCCCGTCCGGACCCGTTCTTCGGTGGAGGGCCCACAAGGGGGGCGCTCGGCAAGGGCCCCCCCCCGGAGGCCAGCTCGAGGTGTTGCTCCCGCCCGCTCTGCTACTCGTGTCAGGGCGTCGGGCCTCGGGGCTCTCTCATTCCTCCGCCCCCCTCAGTACTCCAGATTTCGTAATACCGGGGGAGGGGTCTGGACCCTCCAAGACAAGCCATTTCAGACCCCCCCCCGTGGGAGAACCCTCCAAAACATCGTCCCCAGACCCCCCCAGGCCCCCCAAGATAGCCTGGAAGAGACCCCTCCCGAAAGGAGACCCCCCTCCCTTTATTACGAAATCTGGAGTACAGTGGGAGCGCGCATCCAGAAGCCATCTGCTTCTCGTCAGGGTGCCCTGGGCTTCTGCGCTCCGCGCACTGCGCGGCGGCTTCCCGCGACCATATTGAAGGAGCTGCTGCGTTCGGGATGCAGTGCCCCGGAGTTCCCCCCAGTCGCACCTCTCGTGCGGGTCTTCAGGGCTGGGTTCCTTGCGACAGCCGACCCCTGTACCCATCCCCATCCTTGTCCAGACTGGTCCAGACTCCCCACCATCGCAGCACCCCAGTTTCGGGGGAGCGTAAGACCCGGGTTTGCCGGGACTCGGGTTCGCCATCGTTTTTTGACGACCGCGACTCGGATTTTGACGAGGAGGAGTTTTGTGGGATGTCTGCAGCGGGAGGCCTCGTCAAAATGCAGGCTCGGCCTCGTCATTTTTTTGACGACCTCGTCGGGGATTTCCGAGTCCCCCGTACCCGGGTCTTACGTCTCCCCGACAGTTGGGGAGATGTGCCTTCCGAAACCTTCGGCAAACAGCCCATCGCATATTTCCCCCCTCTGGGGCGGGGCGGGGGCAAGCCGGTGGGGCCCAGGCCACGCCCCTGGGGACAGGGGTCGGCGCAGCGATGCTCACCCCCACGGGGGAGGAGGAGGAGGAGGAGGGGGAGGGGGAGGAGGGGGAGGAGGGGGAGGAGGAGGAGGAGGAGGAGGAGGAGGAGGAGGCGGAGGAGGGAGGAGGAGGAGGAGGAGGGAGGAGGAGGAGGGGGAGGGCGGCGGCCGCGGCGGCGGGGCCGTGCCTCCGGGCGGAGGGTGGGCGGCGCGGCGGCCGTTGCGCAGGCTGGGGCTTCTGCGGCTGCGACCTCTGCTCCAGCGCGGACGCGGCGCTGGGCGCGGGCCTGGCGCGCGCGAGGGCGAGAGGCAGCCCGCGGCGGCCCGCGCGCGCGAGGAGGAGGAGGAGGTGCTGCCCCTGGGATCTTGGCGTCGCTCGGGCGTGTGCATTTTTTTCTCGGCGTGGACCACTGAGGAGCATTTTTGATCATTTGGCGAAAAAGCCACGCACGAAACCGAAACAAAAACACAGGGAATGGACGTCCGAGCGATAACCAGGGATGCGGCAGCCGATGCACCCACAGAAGGGGCTCAGAATTCCAGCAAAGAGGAGGGGGTGGTGCAGGGGAGCTGGCGCCACGGTGCTGCAGGATGGGTTGCGCCAGAGAGGTCCGGTGCATTGTCGGAGTGAGGGGGCCGAGCGGTCACTCGTTGACATTGGGCGCGTGGCTGAAGTGAGGTTCCGCGGTACGGGTTGTTGTTGTTGTTGTTGTTGTTGTTGTTGTTGTTGTTGTTGTTGTTGTTGAACTCTCATTTCTGAAGAATTATTGATGATCCCCCTCACAGGTGCATATTGTTTTCCTGAATCAAAGTGTGCCCCTCAACGCTCGCACCTTGTTTTTTGGGGCAGGGAAAATATTCCTGCTCAAACTGTGCCCCTGGCCCCCCGGATTACAACAACAACGGCTCCCGCCTGAGATTTCCTCCAAATTTACTCAGGACCCCCGCTCCCGCCTGAGACTTCATCACAATTTACTCTGGATCGGTGCTCCCGCCTGTGATGTGCTCGCAATTTGGTCAGGACGGCGGCTCCCATTTGAGACGTCCTCACAATTTACTCAGGAACAGCGCTCCCGCTTGAGACTTCCTCGCAATCGAATCAAGACTTCCTCGCAATTTTTAATCAAGACCCCCGCTCCCGCCAGAGAACCCCTCACGTTTTATTCAGCAATTGCGCTCTCGCCTGTGGCTTCCATGCAATGTATTCAGAAATGGCGCTTTCGACGCTCAGGAAACACGCTGCGCCAAGGACGCCGTCACAATTTACTTAGGAATCGCGCTCTCGCCATACTCAGGCATCTCGCTTGACTGTCCCACCCGCCCGACCCGCCCGTCAGGGGATCGCCCGCCCGTCGTAGGCTCCCGCCCGAGACTTCCGTTAGGAACGGCGCTTTCGTTTAGGACTTCCTCGAACGTTCATGCTCTTACCTTCCTGCTCCTCCTCCCTTCTCCCTCCTCCCTCCTCCCTCCTCTCCTCCCTTCTCTCTCCCTCCTTTCTTCCCTCATCCTTATGCCTCTCTGCCCTATCCCCTCTCCCTCCTCTCCCTCCTCCCTTCTCCCTCCCCACTTCTGCCTATTCCCTCCCTCTTTCTCTCTCTCTCTCTCTCTCTCTCCCCTCTCTCTTGTGTTTTTTTTTTTTTTTTTTTTTTTTTTTTTTTTTTTTTCTCTCTCTCTCTCTCTCTTTCTCTACCTCTCGTATCTGTCTTTCTCTCCATCTCTCTGCATCTAATCAACCGCCCCCCCTCTTCGCTCCTTCTCTCATGGCGTTTTCCCTCTTCCTTCGTTCCTTTCCCTCCCTTCCTCCCGCTCTCCCTCGTTCTCCCCCTCCTTTTTTGGCAGGGCCCGCACCAATTCCAATGGCGGGCACATGTACGCCCACGAAGGATTGTCCGCCCGTTCAGGTTCGCCCGCCTGTCTAAGCCCGCCGCCCCCCGCAAAGAGAATGAATCCCCCCAGAGGGGGGTATGATCGAAGACGAAAAGGGCGGGTATCGAGGGTGTGGGGAACTCGTTTTGAGTGACACGCGGGCAAGTAAGAGCGAATAGTCTTATGCTAAGTGTTGTTGTTGTTGTTGAACACTATTACTTCTAAAGAATTATTATTGTTGGACCCCCTGGTGCACGCCCCCCGCCCAAAACCTAGGCCGCAGCTACATTTTCATCATTTTTCTGCGAAAGCTTCAGAAAAGTGGATTACCCCCGGATCCGTTTTTTTGTTGACGCTCGTTTTCCCTTGCAAAAAACAATAGAAAATGAAAATTCTTGTTCTTAGTTGATCAAATTTCAAGAATCCCTTGCAAAAAATAAGGTAAAGTGGACATTCGCGCTCGCAAGACGAAATCCTTCCAAAACCTTAGGTTTCGTAACGATTTTAACATAAAAAACATCAAAAACCCAATGGTTTTTTAAGAAAAAATTGTCAAAATGTCCTTCCGCGCGCTCTTGCGGATTCATAGGAAACACACCACTTTTTAAACATTTCTGTCAAAAGGGTCTTTGCGTGCTACTTCTTCAGGTGCTTTGAACTTCTCCAACAACGGTTGCGCGCCTGCGAGGGCCACCATCCCTTGCAAAAAATGAGACGAAGTGCACATGCGCGCGGCCGCCGCGCGCGCATGTCGAAATCCTGCCAAACACAATGGGTTTTCAATAATTTCAAGATGCGATGTTCAGAAAACATATGAAAACGCACTACTTTCTCATCCGAAAAATCTCGAAATCCATTCGCGGTCTCTTGATGAATCTTTAAAACCCAAGATGGCCCCAACAGGCGCGCAAGATGGCCCCAAGAGGCGTCCATGAGGCCCAAAGAGGCGCCCAAGATGGTCCCAAGAGGCTTCAAGAGGACTCCAAGAGGCCCCCAAGAGGTTCCAGAGAGGCTCCAAGGTGGCTCCAAGAGACCCCCAAGATGGCCCCAGGAGGCGTTCTAGAGGCCCCAAGAGTCCGCCGTGAGGGTCCAATAAGCCCCCAAGAGGCCCCAAGATGGTTCCAAGGAGCCCCCCAAAGGCTCTCAAGTGGACCCCAAACCGCGCCAGGAGGCTTCCCCCCTTCCCCAAGAGGACCCCAAGCGGCCCCAGGAAGGCCCCCGACTGCTGACGCACATATCCGTAGCCATCTCGGATCAAGGTATCGCCTGTGTTCTTGGATCATGGCTTTGACGGCGAAAGACCTTCACGAGCAGTATGGCCCTGAGCTGTCGCGGCCTCCCTTGGCCGACTGCGAGAGTGCGTATTATTTGCATCAGGCGCTCCGGGCAAAGGGTATCAATGCTAGTCACCAGGCGTGCAAGACTTGGTGGGCCAAGTATCGGGTTGTGACTGGCACGGTCAGTATTTCTAGCGCCAAGGAGCTGGAGGAGCAGCACGGCTCTGCCATCCGCCACCTGGGCATTGAGTATAATACCGCTTTCAAATTATGCCGGGCGCTCCGACAGTTGGATCCACCACTGTATGTGCCAGATAGGGTCGCAACGGCGTGGCTACTGCAGTATTCATCCAAAGACACGCTTGTCCAAGTGCAGAACGCTGGCCACTTGGAGACCTGGTATGGAGAACGTATTCGCAAAGACATGCCCGAGGGGACCACTGACGGGGCCGTCTTGAAGCAGTGGCTCCTGGGACATTTATCTGTATCTGCTAACGCCAGGGTATGCCAGAAGTGGCTCAGCACGGAGTGGGGCGCCAAGGGGGCATTGAACACTGCCCAAGCTGTGGAGGAATGTATGGGCGAGCGTCTTCGACTCAATCAGTATCGGGAGAGCTTCGCCGACGAGGCCGCTGCGGAGGTCCTCTCGCAGCTTCTCTCGGAGAGCGATCCTCCCGTCGCTGTCAGCGGTATGGTTTTGAGGCAATGGTACGTGAAGTATCACCCTGACTCTGGACCTTGTGCACGTATTCGACACGCTGTGCACCGCAGCAGGTATCGTCGCCTGGAAAGCCAACCTCTTCGTCCACCCGGGCCAGTGGGTGTATCGCAGTATGCGGTATTTGCTCGGTCAGCTCGCTATTCCCATTCATGCGGAGATCGTATCCGGCCTCTCCTACAGGGCCCTGGCCACCTTGGACGTATTCATTGCGTACCACGCGGCCTTCATGGGTACGGACCCGCAGAAAATGGCCCTTTGGAACGTATCCCCTGAGGTCGGCACAGAGATCACGTATCCGCGTCAAGACCAGTGGTGGTGGTTGCCCGTATGGCGGTCGTATGGTCAGAGCGACGAGCTTCCGAACATGCTCGATTACCAGGCCTTGCCACCGCAGGTCCACAACGTGCTCGCGGTAGCACTGCCGTATGCAAGCACCGGCCTTCCCGCCAGCAGGCGTATCGGCAATCTCATTGGGCATCTGGGACCGCACGGGTATCAGCCAGGCCCGCACGTGTATCAGCCAGGCAGCCGGGCACCCACGCGCCCGCTCCGCGCCATCGCAGACGACGATGCGTCGCGCCTTTAGTATGCTTCTGGATGCGAAGACCATTCGGTTGAGTATACCCCTACGTGTGACTGGACCTGTTTGCGAAAGCAGGAGAAAGTATGGCACCCCTTTGTGTCCAGAGCCGCGCCGTCTGCGTTCTTCCTTTCTCGCTTCTCTCCTTTCCTCCTTGTCCTGCTCCTCCTCCCCCTCTTCCGCCTTGGAGCCGTATTGGAACTGTCGATGGCCATCTCCCTTTCTCCCTCGCATGTCTGCTTGTACATACGTATAATTTCAGAACTTACCGTGCATGCGATCGTTTACAACATGGTGGACCGTGCGTATGTCACGAACCTTGTATACATGTGTTTCTCTCCCTCCGTCTGGCTGTGCACGCGCGCGTTGGGCACTGAGAGTTAGGATCATAGCGCCATGAGTCTATGAGCAATGCATGCGTCATCCTTGGGACTGTATAACATCAGTGTAACACATGTACTTCTGTAATCGCATCCCCACGAATTTGCCCCAAAAATGTGACCAACTATCTTGGCACTGCGTACCATCTCACGTGTACCGTGTACCACATCATATGTAACAGATGTGATCAACCTCTGTGGGTGTGTACCCCACGCCAGTGTAGTAGCCAGGGTCGTCCGCACGCCACGAAGTGAAGTGTCCCAACGTCATAGGGCGGGAAGCTGGGTGTGGGTGGTCTCGAAGAGTCGTTTGGATATTTGGTAGAGCTTGAACGGCCCCCCCACGAAGTGGGGGCATTGGCTGGTGTCGCAAGAAAACCCTGGCACTGGTGAGAACACTGAGCGTTCGGGTAACATGATTGTTGTTGTTGTTGTTGTTGTTGTGGTTGTGGTTGTGGTTGTGGTTGTGGTTGTGGTTGTGGTTGTGGTTGTCG